AAAAAAGTAACAGAAACAAGGACAAGTAAGATTTCAAATGCCCAATGAAAATACAAAATAAAAATCCTACTCTTGTGACGCAAACTCTACTCCACATTGCAAGGTGATCTGTAGTTTCTTATATAATAATATTAAAAGTACAATGTAGAGTAGAATTTGCATCACGAGAGTAGGATTTTTATTTCGTATTTTCATTGGTCGTTTGAAATCCTACTTTTCCTTGTTTCTGTTACTTTTTTTGCAAATTTGCTCTAGAATCCTACTCCAACTTGTTTTTAAAAAAAATCTATGTTCTTCATATTGTTCTCCTTCCTTATTGATTTTGTTCATTTTTCTCTAGGCATATAATCTTAATTCATCATGTATGAGATTATTGCTAGAGGAGAAGAATGATGTTACTGATATTAGTGATGCAGGAAGTACTTTAGGAAAGATATTCAGAAAATCAGCATACAAAGACCAACAAGTACTGAGTACTGACATTAATACTGTAATGGAATATTTGATAGTGGTTATTTTCCCCAAAAATTACCATTTATTTTTTATAGTGCATGTAAATCTATGTGTCTATGAGCATGCATGTGCAAGTTTATATTAGTATATCTAATCATGATTTTAATATTATTTTTCACTTTAATTTTGCTCTTTTCTCCTCTTTATTGTCTTTATGCACACGTCAAAATACTTTTAGTTAGTGTATGTATCATCAAATCCTGAAGAGTTTCAAAAAGAATTCAAACGTAGTTTGACGTACAGACATGTTTCTAAACTTTATCTTATCAACCGAATGCTATTAAACATTACAATACCTCTGGCTCCTGGACCTAAAGCCACTCCCACTACAACTAATGTACCTGAAGGAGGAATAATAAGGAAATTTGTACTAATGAAAGAAGAAACTAAAGGAAAAGAAAGAAGTAAATTTAATTGTAATAATGTTAATGTAAATTTTATATTATTCAATACAGAGATACAGGTACTAGTTGATAAGAGAATAACATTAGCTCAATTGAAGGAGGAACTAGTTCCACTGATTGGTGTACCACCTACTGGTTTTATAGTGTATGGGATCAGTGGTAATAGAGAATATGAAATGAAGAGACTTAATAGCACATCAAGCTTACAGTATATTGGTTCTGGATCAGAGGTGGTTTTTTGTAATAGCCTTCTATTATTTATTGCTTTGTATATCATCTCCTAGCTGATAATAAGACTGGGTAGACCATTACAAGAAGGAGAGCACAGAATTACATTATATTTACTACAAGTTAACAATACAGTGGTAAAAATTATTTCACCTTTTATTATTATTATCATTATTATTTATTATTATTATTACTATTATTATTACAAAGAGAAAAACCAAACAAAAAAGGACATTACTATTATTATTATTATTATAACAGACATAAGTGACATGCTGCAAAAACAGAAAACAAAAACAAAAAAAGGAAATTATTATTACAAACAAAAAAAACACAAAAATGAAACAAACAAACACAAATAAGTTAGAGAACCCCATCTACAAGATGGGGAACAGACAGCAGACGAGATGCCCACATTGAAGCATTATTATTATTATTATTAATAATAAGAAACACACTGTGAAATAAAAACATTAGAATAAGTTACAATAGAATAGAATAAGTCAGGTCAAAGTCAGTTCAGAGTTAGCTAGTACATTACTCTTGACAAGAGCACATTATAATTATTACTGGAGAAATTATTTTGTATTTTATTTTATTCTTAGTTTTGTAAGTTTATGATGGAATCTATTGTTGCTAAGGGTACACCAGTGAGAGAATTTAAGAAACAAATTATTGAAGAAGCAAAAGCACAAGGAATTGACTGTGTCCTTGAATTAGACAAGTAAGTACATCATGTGACTATCATGTGACTTATTGTGTAGAATGAGAATACGGGACAAGAGAGGAGCATCTCCTGGTAGAGTATATTATCTTGATGATGAGTTGATTAATACTAGTAGGGAAATGTATGTTGAACCATTGAAAGGTCAGTATATTTTAGTATTTTTAGTATACATGTACCATATTTCCTCAATATAAGCCCTGGCGTCTATTTTTAAATTGGCTTTTGAATCTCGAAAAAAATGAAAATGAAAAATATAAATAACTTGAAAACCAGGATTTGAACCCATGACAAACATTTCTAACTCCATGCAGGTACATTGTATCTACGATGCACAGATAACATTACAAATCAGATTTGCATATTTATACTTCGATTTTATTGTGACTGTGGCTTTTATTTGAGTATATGGTATCTTCAGTATGTTATATTGATTTCTATTTATTAGGACCAGAGGAGATAAAGCATGATCAACACAGACAGGTGTATGTTATAAGATGGCGTCCATCACAATGTTCAGTTGATCCAATAGAAGAAATTATACTGGATAGAAGATATGATCCAAATCATGTTATTGAAAAGGTAATAGAAATTAGAGGAACATGTATCAGTAGCACATATCATTATTAATATTTTACAGCTTTCAGAGTTAAGTGGAGTTCCTGCTGAGTTTATCTCTTATTCACAGGTTAATATAATTATTGAAGATATATGTACTCTTTCTCCTGACTATTAGGAAAGATTATTTCCAGTTGAAACACATGTATCATGTCTTGATATTGAGAATAAATTGACTTGGCATTCCATCACTTCAGCCACATACTCATTAGGACTATATGATGATGGACGTGTCATATATTACAAGTACTAATAAACACACACACACATTATGTATACACACACACTTACATACACCTCTTACTGTTTATAATTATTTAGAGACAATAGAGAGACAATGAAAGAGTTAACAGATAAAGAGAGATCAAAATTTCAAGAGGCAGAGAAAGCAAGGTCAGTAAAACTCATGTTTCATCATGTACATCAGTGTTGTTTTAGTTCATGATTTACATTTTAGTTTTAGTTATGGTACTTTAGAACAAAGTATATTTAGTTCCAGTTCTAGTTATAGTAAAGCCTCAGCCTATTTATTTTAGTTATGATTATGTGATACCATTTTCTTTTAGTTATAGTTATAGTTTTAGTTATAACAAACTAAACAATACCAAGCAAAAAAGTCATTTACTCATAGCAATTTCAAATAATACCATTAACAAGTATGCCCCACTAACAAAAGTACCCTCTCAACAGGGTCAATCTTCGTCAAATGAAAGTAGATTTCAATTAACAAGTAGGTGTGGCTAGTACTAGTACAAAACTGTTAATTCTATTTTAGTTATAGTTTTGACAAGTCATTTTAGTTATGATTCTAGTTATTTTGACTTCAAATGGAATAATTATAGTTTAGTTAACTAAATTACAATTTTGCTGTACTAAAATAGATTTAGTTATAGATATAGTTAACTAATACAACACTGATGTACATGTACAATCAGTTAATTAAATTCCTCATTTGTTTATTATATTGTAGGTTGAGGAGGATTAAGAAATACACATCAAAGTATAGACATAGATATGGATATTGGCATTGGGACTGACTGAAATGGATTGGCTTAATTTTTCATGTCATATTAATTATTTATGTAGTTGCAACTCTACTACCATCTAACAATGAATACAGTCATAACTCATAATGCAGTGCCTCTATCACAGATGTGTCTGCTTAGTGCAGGACTATTAGAAGCAATGGTTCTAACTACAGGTGATCACTTGTGTCCAGTTCCTACTACTACATGTACTCTTAGGATTGTGTGTTGCTTCTGGTGTCTTGGGCCTTTCAGCTAGATCAATTTTTTTTACTAGTGTCCATCTTTTACTGGCTTCACTCAAGCATATTGGGCTGATGAGTGACTCCAAATGATAAAGCCTGGATTAAAATTAATGAGTAATGATGATATCAAAATTTGATTTACAGTAATGCAGAGTCTAGGCACTATATGCTCCAAAGCTTTTTTG